AGCTGTACGGTGCTTCTCGGCTTTTCAGCATGGATTGGCTTCGCTTACAGGACGAAATCTCCACAAAGCATTCCATTAGATACATTACGGTTGAGTGTAAATTGGGCTAGATGAATAGAGTCGTTTGAATCTAGACACTCTTGCAGCTGAATATTTGCACGAGAGTAAGCAAGAGATTACTTCTGTGCTTCACCTGTTGCTCGCTTCATAAATAACTCTGCATAATCTAACATTGCACAATTCTAGTGCATGTGTCGGTGAAACTGAACTCAACTTGGTTCTTTGTGCAGCACCCTTTTATAGTCGAAGAATGTCAGTCTACTTTACTGTTTGGGGAGCAGCGAATTCATTGCTTGTCTGGAACGGAGTGTCTCTGAGCCAAGACATGTAGAATAAGACAGAATAACGTATAAAAATAGGTGGCTCTAAGTCTTCCTAAATACACACACGTTAAAACAGACCGTTGTTTTTATACGAATAGGTGAAAACTGTCCGATGGGATTTTTCTGTTAACTTTAGTTTGAACAGTGTTCTCAACCTCCTAACCGAGTCAACTTCATTATCACTGAGACTGAGGTGCGTAATCTGGCGTTTCTCAGATATTTACTCACTGTTTATTCAGAAACGATCCTCACATTTAAAGCCATATACGAATAAGTAATTCGGTAAAACAGAGTCCCTAGAGTTTGTTTACATGTACTCTTTTAGTACTCACGTTGCTCTGTTTGACATGTCGTAACAGTCCATCCACGTTGCATGTTAATATGGGCAGAATGCATAGTGATTAGGCGAGAATAATGCGAGAGAAGATTAGGCCAATTCTACCTCCAATAACCCCACCCAAAATTCGATGGAATGCGATGGAATATACGGTCATTTATTTATCGCCAAACGCCGGAATCCCCAGTTAGCTTGGTTTATTTATGCAAAAATATGAGTGTGTCCGTCAAAGACTAACCGTATAGTTGATGATGGCAAGCTGAGGGACAGTAACTGAAAAGCCTAAGGTCCAAACACTTTGTAGTGTCAAATAATGTCGCAGTATGACTTCTCCATAGTCGTTTTTAACCTTTTTAAAGGAATTACCGAAGCATTTGAATACATTTGTTTAGGAGACGCTGCATTTCAAATTCAAGCTTTCCGTATTTTTCGCGCTAACAAGATTGGAGCCGAGTTCTTCCCAAAACTGCTGAAGAACAGAACTGTGAAGTCCGCCAAATAGCAGTTATCCGAAAAATAAGACTATCTTGGAAAGAAACCAGACTTCTTCACAGAGATTGATGGTATACAGCCAAGTATCATACCTGTCACTGTGTCGAGGGAAGCCCATCAACATTCAGTTACAGGTTCCACCCTTTCGACCTGATGGGATGCATGCTGTATGAAAAATGTCACAAACAGGAATTGATTGATTCTTTTTTTAATTTTTTGCGAATACTGGGGAAACACCCAGTTTTTGGAATCGTGGTAGTCTGGTACATTCGCTAAAACGCACCACCTAACATTTCTATAGTAAAATTCGTCTAGATAACGAAAACATCAATCTCTGAGATAGTTTTCTGAGGCCCGCCAATAATTAACTGCCCAAACTACAGATGTGGAAAGCTTCACAAAGATGAAAGATCTGTTCATCTTAAATTGTCGGTCTT